ACCCGTCAACGACGAGCCTATTGTCATCGAGGACTAGGGTGCCCGGCCGCCTGCCTCCCACCGCCTGCCCGCCCACCCGCCCGCCGCCCGGTTTTGGTAGTGCCCCCGCCCACCCGCCCTCACCCGCAGAGAAACTGCTCCTCGGCTGCTCGGGGAGAAGCGCGGAGACCCGCTCCAAGCCGCCGAGGAGTCGTTTTTAGCTTTGAGTTTACTTTTTGGCCGGAGCGGAGCTGAGCTGAGGAGCCGCCCCGGGCGCCTGCTCTGCACCGCGGGCCTCGTGGGCCGGCCGCAAGTCTTGTTGTGTTCTGTTGAAGGTGCCATTTTAAATTTTATTTTTATTACTTTTTTTGTAGATGAACTTAAGCTCTGTAACTTACACCTGGAATGTTAGGATCGGCATGGCCATTGGCCGGCCGAGCTGCCTGGTGGGGTTGGTCCCTTGTCTTTTCAAGTAATTTTCATATTAAAAAAAACAAAGGAAAAAAAACTCATAAAAACACAAAACCAACCAGCCTTTCCCATGTCTTTGTCCCCAGTCGCTCTCCATCTTGGACTCCCTTGCCAAGGTGGGTCTGGAGGGCGCTTCTAGCCTAGACTCTCCCAGGCCTGCTGGGCAGTGATGGCGTGTGGCCCACACCGTGCGGGCCTCCTGGCAGCCTAGGGGCTCAGCTGCTCTGTGGGCCCTGGCCCGGCACCCAGCACCCTCCCCTGGGAGCAGGGCTCAGGGTCTCACACTGGGGAGACTCCATGTATGAGACCCTGTGTCTGTCCAAGGCAGGGGTGGCCTGGACCTGGCCTGGGACCAGAGTGGCAGGTGCCTGGCTCCTGTCGGGGTGGCCAGCAGAGCCAGGTCAGCCCGGCCCACCTTCCTGCTCCTGGCAGAGCCCTGCCCAGCTGTCCAAGGAGCCCTGCCAGGAGTGCAGGGCCACCGCTAGCAGGTGTGGAGTTTCTGCAGGGAGAGTCTGCTCAGACTTGAGTTCATTTTCAGAAATCCTATCTTGGGCGGCCCCCGCACACACCCTGGCAGGCCCACGGGACAGGTGTGGCCTGGTCAGCCACTGGAGGGCAGGGCCGGGAGGGACAGGTCTTAGGCTGTGCCGCCTCCACTGGCCTGGAGAGGAGTCAGCTTGGCCCTCCCTGAGGGGGCTTCCGCCTGCCTGAGGGCTGCCTCATGCTCCCCCAACCCCACTGTGCCATGTAGATATCTCAGCTGGAGAATTAAAATAGAAGCTATTCTGGCCCCTGACTGGAGACAGATAAGGGGAGTCCTGGTCTCCCTCCCAGAGCCGTGGGCCCCCACCCCCACCCCCACTAATTCTAATCTGCAGTCCTGGTGCCACCCCCGCCCCCACTGCCCCAGGCCTTTGTTGCAGTGTCCGCGGGGGCTGGGAGACCAGGCTGGTGACCTTGAGAAAGACTAGCTTCCTCTGGGGCCTTTTCCAATCCTGGGGTCTGGGGATGGAGTGGGGAGGAGAGGGTTGTCTTTAGCCCCAGATTCTTCCCCCCTCCCCCAGGCCCACTTCCTGGCTGAGACCTCTGTCCCAAGTACAGGCAGACCCTGAGAAAAGTCAGGGTCCTCCACCCACATCATACCACTGCCAGGCTTGGTAGGGCCTGGGCTGCGTGTCCCCCTCTGGGGTGCCTGGTGGGTCTGAGCCAGGCCTAGGAATGGGATGGGGAGTGGGCACTGGTTGGGGCAGCAAGGTCCTGGGCACCTAGGAGTGCGATTGCTGGCTCTGCCCTGTTCTGGTAGGCCCAGCAGGTTGCCGCATCATCCCCCAGATCCCAGGGCCTGGCGGCTCACGGCTCATGCAGGCAAGAGTCCGCATGATGAGCTCAGCCTGGAGGCCTGCCTTTCCTGGGGCCCCCCACCGTCCCCCACTGAGCACTGCTCTGAGGGCCCTGCGTGGTCATTTCCAACGCTACTGGGACGCCAGGTGATTCACAGGGCGCCAGGCCACTGGCCCCAGAGAAGAGACCTGCCTCCACAGCTGGCCACCTGGCCTGGCCACCTCAGGGCCCTGCCTGCTTCCCCTGAACCCTGCTGTCCTCATCCAGCCCCATGGCCTACTCACTGGGAGCCCACGGCCTGTGCCTGACCCAGGCTGCAGCCCTCAGTGCCCAGGGAGATGGCGTCCGGGGATTTGTGCCCTTTCCCATCAGCCCAGGGCCTGCAGCTGGGAGGTGGGGTGCCTTTGCAGCCCCACTCTCCGGTCCTGTCTCCAGGGCACTAGGCCAGGGCTGAATGCCACTCCTTTGCTCCAGCCCCCTTCACTCTCCCAGCAGGCCTGGGGCCTCAGGGCCCCCTCCCACAGGTAGCCTCCTTCCAGAAGACACCTGTGCCCAACCAGCCCACCCTCCACAGCACTACTGCAAATTTTAGGGGGCGGGTGGAGTCAGGGAGGCTGATGCCCGGGGTTCCGCAGGAGCCCCCAAGCTGCAGAGGACATGGCACTGGGTGCCAGGTGGGGGCAGTGGGCCTATGAATTAGTCAGAGACACCGGATGCCCAGCCTGAGCAAGGAGCAGGCAGTGAATAACTGACCTGCGGGGAGCCCCATGCCAGCCACCTCGTTCAAGAAGAGGCCTGCTAAGGCCTCCCCACCTGTCTTCCCCCTGGCTGGCGCAGTGCCAGAGCTGGAGCGCAGAGGGAGAGGGGGCCAGTCCAGCTGGTCAGGCGGGCTTGGGGGTGGGAGGAGCACCTGTTTCTGGGCTATTGTCTTCACTCACGGAAATGGCAGTGGCTGAAGAATGTGAGTGCAAGGAGGCGGCCAGGGCCAGCACACTCATCCATCCTGTGAGCACCGTGTCTCCCGGGGCCAGGAGCAGGCGCTGGGGGCAGTAAGCAGTGGGGGGCAGGCCTCAGTGTTGGCACGAAGCCTCAAGGACACAGGGCAGGGGGTGAGGGGACTGCAGCTGGCTGCCCAGGCTGGGTCATCTGAGCTTGGGGGGTCTATCCAACCGCCAGAGTGGAGGCTCAGCTGGGGAGGGAGGCCTGGAAAAGAGCCTACGAGGAGGTGGCCCCAGGGCCCTCCAAGTGCCCCACGCCCTCTGGGGGTTAGGGCCAGGGTCTACATGGCTTCTGGGTGGAGGCAGGGGTGGGAGTGGTCAGGCTGGCCCTGCCAGCAGGCGGACTGGGGCCCCCCCGGGGGAGGTCCCTAGCTCCCCAGCCCACCCTGGGACCGGGAGGCTGGAAGTCAGATGCCCCAGGCCCTAAGCTAGTAGGCCTAGAGGAGGGGTGCCCAAGGCAGGCGTCCTGGGGGGGTGGAGTGGGAATGCCGAGGCAGTGTTGGTGGACTTGGCCACAGCACCTGCAGGGAGGACACTCCGGGAGCTCCCCATCCTGGAGCTCCTCTCCTCCCAGCCCTACGGCCCTCGGCTGAAGGAGCTTGGGGAGGGCACCTTCAGAGCCTGCAGCACAGCCCTGCGGGTCTCCTCGCTGCCAGTCACCCCTCCTGCACACCCTTCCAGTAGTTTCTCTCGCGATGTTTTTGGAAGTGGCAGGCGCCCTGCCCTCCACCCGCTGAGACTTCAGCACCACTGACAGTGTTAGGCGGGGCCGGGGCGCGCGGCGGGGCCGGCACTGGGCCTGGACCCGGACCCGGTGGCGCGCCCGCCGGGAATCCCGCTCAGATCCGGTCGCGCGGCCGTTGCTATAGAAACCAAGCAACAAAGGGAAGAGCGGCGGTGGCGCGCGGCAGGGTGGGGTAGGGTCCTCCGGGGACCTGGGCGCCAGGACCGTGCGAGGCGGGCCGGTCCGCCGTCGGGGCGTCAGTCTGCGTGTCCGGACGCCGCCCTTCCGGGCCGAGGCCCCGCTGGCCAGGACCTCCCCGGTCAAGGGGGCCGCGGACTCCGCCCCACGCTGCAGCCTCGCCGGCTGCCCCGACGTTGCCATGGAAATAGGCGAAGAGCTGGCGGGCCCCGACCGAGGCCACCTTGAGCGCGCGGCCGAGGGGCGCCAGGCCGGTCCGGGTGCCCCCTGTCCGCCCCGGCAGGTGCGCCCCCGCCCCCGGGGCGTCCAGGGCGGCCGGCC